TGGTGTCAGAAGGATTCCACTTTGAAAACAAGACTCTCTGCCAACTAAGTTATTTCAGGGAAATCTATCATTGGCAAGGACATATAAGAAGAGCCTTATGAACAGGAGATAGTTTCCTGTATCTCACAGAATTGTGGAAGAATTAAATGAAATAATGTAGGTAGGAAAGAACTCTAAATTATATGTATAAAGTTGTAAAATGAACTGCGAACACCTGGAAGGTAGGCCCCACGTGCTATCGTATCCCCAGAACTCTACCAGTGCCTGGCACACATGATAGACTTTCAATGAATGTTGGAAGAATAATGAGCTCTTTTTTCCTTCCTAAGTAGTGTGTCTTAATTGCATACATCAACAAAAACAAGGACATACAACTTGGTAGAAAAATGAGCTAAGAATAAGCAGTATTTTTTTTTACTGAAAAGGCTTTTAAACACATGAAAAACTGCTTTAGCTTAATCAGAAATAAAAATGCAAATTAACACAGTGAGTTTTTTTTTTTTTTAGCCCCAAGTATTTTGAGATTTTTCAAGAGATTTTTTTTTTAATTATCAAATTGGCAAAGATCTATGTTTGGCAAGACTATGCTGGCAAAAGTGTTGGGCAATAGCCTCCCTAAGCATGTTGGTGTTCACTGATACATTCGCTTTAAAAGCAAACGTGGGACTGCCTGTTCACAACAGAACTGGACATACCCTGAGACATAGTAAGTACTTCATTATTTGCTACATGCATTTGTGCAAAGATATAAATATTAAGCTATTCTTTGAAGCACTGTTACTAATAGCAAAAAGACTAAAAATCCTGAATGTCCATTAAGGAGGAACTGCTTAAATTATGGAGCATGCATATAATGGCATTTTAAATTGTAATTACAGAGCATGAGGTTGATCTATGTGAACTGAGATCAAATGGGATAGTGGCCAATATGTACTACATTTTAAAAAGCAAAGTATAGGAACATGTAAATCAAATGCTATCATTTGGATTTAAAAGGTATATGTGCAACTATGCATGTGTAAAAACATAGTAAGACCAGTTACAGGGATGTCTGAGGAAGGAACTTAAAAGATTGAGGGTTAGGAGTCGGAGGGAAGACTTACATTTTCTGTAGATATTATTGTTTTCAAACTTCCTATTTTGAAATAATTTTAAAGTTACAAATATAAATTTCCCATACACCCTCCACTTGGCTTCTCATAATGTTGACATCTTACAAATCCATGGTGCATTTGTCAAAACTAAGAAATTACCATGGGTGTGATTCTATTAACTGAACTACAGACTTACTCAGATTTCCCCAGTTTTTCCATCGATATCTTTCTTCTGTCCCAGGGTTCAATCCACGAGACCATATTGCATTTCGTGTACATACTTTTGAACTGTTCAAATTTTATCATGAGCATGAATTACTTTTAAAAATCTAAACATTTTTAAGCTAAGTGTATGATAAGTTCATATAATATTGATGCTTTGAAAACTGATTTTGCTTTTTCTAAGCTAGCAGTACATGTTTAAAAAGATAGTAAATCCTTCCTAGATAATCGTTACGGATCATCTATCTCAGGATTGTTTTAACTTAATCCATTTACCTCTCTTTTTTTTCCTCCTGTTATTAGGGGTTAATTTATTATGTGTCTAATTCAGCCCAAAACACTACAAGTGCAAATTTTCAAAAGTATCATCTGTAAACTCTCATTTCTATCACTCTTCCTTCTTCGTTCTGATTCACTATTATGCAGGTATATTCTTCTAAGAAATCACATTCAATCACCAATTCATCAAAATACTAGGAAAAGCAAACAATAGGTTGATAGTGCATATAGTGCACCAATTTCAATCTTTCAGTCTCTTGAAAATATCTCTCATTTTACGTAAGTTTAAATTTACATAATATTAAATGACATTAAAATGATTGAGCAAAAAGTACACTTTTCTTTATAACCTTACCTGCCTAAGATACTTAGCCTATAAATACAAATGAAAAGTACAAAATACAGTGGTGAACAATTTTTAAAGCAGCTTTAGACTTCCCCCAACTCTCAGCTACCTCCATGTCAACCAAATTAAAAACCAAATCACGTTTTGGGGTTTGGGTTTTTTTTTTTTTTTTCCTATTTAAACCTAAAGGTTTCATCCAGCCTACAGGTGCATGTTTCTTTGGGTAAACAGTTTCAAAATTTTTAAATTCATTTTCAACATTTAAAAATTAGATTTCACAGAAAAATTCAAATGGTCAATGTACTTAAAGTATTTAAAGGTTTGACAACAGGATAACCACCGTCCTGCATGGCAAAGTTGGTTTAAGCTGTGTAGTGGCTTTAGATGGGGCGTCTGCGCCCTAGGTCACCGAGGTTCCTACCTGGCCATCCTTTCTCATTTCTTTACTTGCCTGGCTCTGTAGTTGTCACGTTTGCAAAGCCCTTTGTTTAAAGCTCTGCACAAAACAGATATTTAACTATTATTCTTTGTGTCATCAAGAGAAACTTGTGGTCTAAAAGTCCTGTTTTCCTTCGCAGTTCTCAAGACTATCAAAGGGACATTTTTATAACAGTTATCAAAAAACTCTTGAGGTGGTAGTCCCTGTTACACACAGGCATCTCTTATCTCGTTAAGACCCAAGATTGATAGTGCTCTTGGTGCTCAATGGTGCGATTGTGTATGTTTCCTGAAAAGCTATAAATTTGTAAGAGAAAACAACAGACTACAAGGGTAGTTTCCTTTATTTTGCTAAATTGTAAAGATCTCAGTTTGACATTAATTCTAAATTTTACACAGAATGACCACTTCACAGATAATTAACACAGTTTACATATTAAACACTTATTTCTGTAGAGTATATTCTATCATTTAAACTAGAAATAAGACCCAATGAATGTATTAATAAATAATCAACTGCCCTTAAGTATATCATCTGTGATCAACTTGGTAAGACTAAATTTACTACATCTGAATTCCAGGCATAAAATGAATGATTTAGAGAGTTTTTTTGTTTGGGAGAAGTCGAAAGAAAGCAGGACAGGTAAATGATCTGCAGGTTAAAATACAAAATCCTGTCACATTGCATCTCACATGTTCAAGACATCCTCCAAGGGCTAAAAACACATGACGGTTCTCAGAAACAGTATTATAATCTGTTAACAAGTCAGTCATCTAATACACTACAATCAAAAAACTCCTTATAAAAAATGGAGTCCATGAATTCACAGACACTGTAGAATCCCAGGCTCTTCACCATATTACTGAAAAAATGAAAATAAACATATCTTTGACATATTATGGCAATTCATATCTTTCTCATCAGACTATACCAGTCATCTCAGTACTGTGGAAATGTTCCATCGATTTTGGCAGCCCAGGCCATGAGGCCCCCCACAACATCCCGAACTGTTAAAGTGCCTAACTCCTGGGCTGCTGCTAAGGACTGGAGGATCTTCACAGCTTTCTGGGAGTCATTTCCCAGTTTGCAAATGACATAAATGGAGAGAGCAGCCCCTTCCTGTGTGTCCCGCTTCCCTTCCCGGATTGCTTCTCCTAAGAGTTTCAAGCTCTCCGCATCCCTCTGTTCCAAATGTTTCAAAGGGATGTGTAGGGAATGAGGCAAACGACAGATGTCCACTTCCACTTGGGGCCTAACGTCCAGCAACAGATGGGGTGCCCCAGAATCCAGAAGTTGCTTATAGTCGGTGACAGAAACTCGCTCCTCTGAGCTCAATAACTGCAGGGAGCGGCACTTATCATTGGCTGCGGAGCCACAGAAGGCTTCATAGTCCTGTAGGTCAGTCACCGTGGGCCACTCCCCGCAAACTGCACAGTCGGGCCTGCGGCTCCGCAGCTGAATACAGCGGAAGTGCTGATGCCCTCTGAGGGCATCGAACAGCAACATCCTACCACTGTAAGAGGGGCCCAGACCCGCAGCGATTTTCAGCACTTCCAGTGCCTGCAGACAGCCCAGGACCCCAGTCACGACACCGAGCACCCCGCCATCGGCGCAATTGGTCACTGTCTCGGCTGGGGGTGGTTGAGGGAATACGCAGCGATAGCAAGGCCCTCCGTCATAGTGGTAGACTGTGATTTGGCCCTCGAAGCGCAAGGCACTGGCAGACACAAGAGGCCGGCCGGCCAGCACACACGCGTCGTTAACCAGGTAGCGAGTGGGCATGTTGTCGGAGCAGTCGGCCACCAAGTCATAGCAGCGGACCAGGTCTAGAGCGGTGGCTGGCGTAAGGGCCTGAGCGTAGGGCACGCACTCCACCGCCGAATTGAGCCGGCGCAGCGACGCCGCAGCCGAAAAGGCCTTGGCCTGGCCGGCCAGTGCCTCGCCATGAAGCACTTGGCGGGGCAGGTTGCTCATTTCTACCACGTCGTAGTCCACGAGGCCAAGGCGGCCCACGCCGGCTGCTGCCAGGTACTGCGCCAGTGGACAACCGAGCCCACCGCAGCCCACGACAAGCACGGACGCGGTCGCCAGGCGAAGCTGCCCGTGCACGCCCAGCTCAGGCAGTATTAGCTGCCGACTATAGCGCAGAATCTCATCTCGCGAGAGGGCGGCCTTCAGCGGCAGCGGCGACACCGGATCCAGCTGTTCTGGCTGGGGTTCCTGCTCCGTCAAAAGAGCCGCCGCCAGCCTCTGCTTCAGGAACCTCAGCTCCTCCTCACGCTGGGCAACTTCAGCCTGCAAGGCGAGTACCTCCTCCCTGGCAGCCATGGCGACTTCTTCCGGAAGTTGTGAAAGGCATTTCCGTTTCCGGCTTGCTGTCTCCTAGCGACTGCGAATAAACTAAAAAAGCTTTGTGGCGCTTGGGAAAAGGTGATGAATAAATAAGTACTTCCTGAAGAAAAGCTCAGATTAAACTTTAAACGTGCATAGTCCTGAATATCTCCAATTACACCATACAGAGCCCTAGAAGAACTAGAACGCAATCACACAGACCATCACCCTCTCCCGAATTTGGTACAGTCCGAGCCGTCCCCCCTCGCGCCGCGTTTACATAATTCCGCTTCCGGCATCTTGCGCAGTTCCGCCATGGCCTCCTTGGTAGCCAGTCGTGCTCCTCCTGGGTCTCTCCCGGAGCCGGAGGTGCGCAATCTGCGACAGGACAAGTATTCGGTGCTTTTACCCACCTACAACGAGCGCGAGAACCTACCGCTCATCGTGTGGCTGCTGGTGAAAAGCTTCTCCGAGAGGTAGCGCACGAGGCCACCCTCCCCAGGAGTGAGATGAGCTGGCTTCCCCCGCTAGGGTGTCGGCAGTTGGCTGCGCGAGGCGGCCCTGCCCAGCCTCTCTTCGGCTCACGCAGGAATCCTCGGGGTGGAGGCCACCCTGCGAGGAAAGCAGAGGCAGATACCTCTGGGGTTCTCTCCATGTCCTGGATTCTCCTTCCTGCCCTTGGGTTTTGTGACGCCCATTTATCTTTATCGTAAACTCCTCTCGTTTCCCCCCTCCCCGCCTTTTCTTAGAAGGGTTGGCCACCCTTTTACTTGGGGGCGAGGCGGAAAGCCTGACCTCACGCCTCCCTCTAGGCGGTCAGAATCTGCGGCAAGAGTCAGGAGTCTAAGCGAGCGCGCTCACTGGCCGCCTCGGTGCCGAGTGCTTATATAAGCATGAGATTCGGTCTGTGTGGGTTAGGGAGCTGTTGATGGGCACGATAATCTTTCTGGAAAGGAGAGAGCAGAAGGGCATCTTCGCTGATCACTTGTGAATGGTCGGTGTGGTTGTTGGAAACTGGGGGAGGGGGCTTGGAGTTTGAATTTGGAAGTGTTACGCAATCTTTTAAAAACTTTAGAAAATCCTGGAATCAGTACAGAGTAACTTGTTTTACGGTTCATATGCAGTGAAATTTTTGATCTTTCCCTATTAACACATACAAACATAGCAAATTATTTTGAGTTAGGTAATATTCCATATGGCTGTGTTATTTATTTAATCAGGTCATGTCAATGAACAGATTATTTCTAGAGTTTTTTGTTTTTATTTTTTGGCTTTTGCTTTACAGATGAGAGCAGGGATTTTGTTTACACCATATTTTCCATGATTTAGAACAATGCTTGAAACATAGTGCTCCTTTATTGCATGAATGTTGCAGCAAACACACTCTTATGAGTGTACCGGGGATAAACTCTTAAAGGTGGAATTGCTGGGTCGACAGAGATATGCTTTAAATTGGCAGTTATTTCCAAATTGCTCTCCAAAAAAGATTGTACCAGTTTAGGGCTCTGATCTTCATCGTGCCTGTTTCCCCACCAACCAGCCAACTTGAGCGTTGTTAAACTTGACATCGTTGGAAATAATTTGTGGAAACCATTGCTGTTTTATTGTTTTTCTTTCAATAACTGTCTTAACATGCATAGCCCCTCAAAGTTTTAAGATTTATATCTTTTCTTCCATTTAGTTAATCGTTTTATTTTGATTTCTGCAATCCTTTTCCAAATTAAAGAAATTAACCATCATGTAGCTGATCTTGTTCAGGGTTTGTTTTCTAATTTTATGATATTTTTGCTGTATTCTAATTTTTTTTTATGTAGTGCAGGTTATCTTTTAATGGTTTGTGAGTGGATCTTTTAAAATCAAAATGAGAAAAGGAAACAACTGTTTTCTGCTCAGATGCAAATTGCTTGAAGTCAGCTCAGCTTGATCCCTTTAAGCTGCCTCATCCTCAGTTGGTGTGGCTGCTTTGAAATGGGAGAGCAGAGTAATTTAGCTTATAAATGACTCCATTTTGTTTATGAAATGGCTCTTTCACCATGTCTATTAGAGTCACCTTACAAGCTTGCTATGTAAAGCACTGTGCCCACATTTCAGGCACCGTGGGAAGCTGAAATCATTGTATCTACTCTTGGAGAATAGAAGCACTGAGTTTTGCTTTCTGCAAAATTTGCTGGGACTGACTGTTAAAGCCTTTAAGCGTGGAATGTGTTTTCTCGTGGATTTCCTTGGGTATGTTTAAGTTAGGGTCAAGAGGAAACAGAGCGTTACATCGTAGAGGTTTGGCTGTGGCTCCTTTTCTTTCCCCTTTTCCAGATAAAGTTAACAAAAAGAATGTCTTGGGTGAGTAGAGGGACACATAATGGTGATCACTTACACATGTAGTATTTATCTACCAAGTATTGTGTTGGCTTGTTTTTAAAATAGAAAATTCCACTTGAAGTTAATGGAAAAGTGACAGAGATGTTAATTCTGAAACACAGTGAAATCTTTTGTAATTCTACTGCCTTCAAACATTAATAAAAATTTAAATTTTTTATTTTAGTGGAATCAGCTATGAAATTATAATCATAGATGATGGAAGCCCAGATGGAACAAGAGATGTTGCTGAACAATTAGAGAAGATCTACGGGTCAGACAAAATTGTAAGTTATCTGAACGTTTTTCTGTCATACGAGTTGTGTTTATGTAGGGGAAAGATGAGAAATGAATAATGTTTAAGTGTAATCTATTTGCCTGTTCTGTAGAACCTGGAAAGATAAAGAGTGTCTTATACTCTTGGGATTTAAATGCATTTTCATTGTGCTTAAAATTTTACATATCTTTGGTATGTTGGGTCGCTGGTAATTTTACAGCAAACAAGTGAGCCTTTGGATGAACTCTATTTATGACTGATTCTGCAGGTAAATTTTCTTGAAGGGCAAAATTAAAGCATGTTACTGAGTTGACAAGATATATCATAGAACCAGGTTGCAATTAGTGGTATTTGTCTTAATTTTTCTTGCCCCCTTTCTCTAGGTATTCTCATACTTTCAGTAGAGAATATTGCCTGCAACTGAGAACTTGGAGATGGGAAAGGTGACTGTTTTCATGTGAAACAGTAATGACTTTTCAAAGTACTTAGCATTTTTATTTTTAATCTGTAGGATAGTCTGATGGGAGTAGTTTGACCTTTTGAGTCCTAAACTTCAGATTTTCCTACTGTTCTTTGAAACTTGTTACTCTTCTATAGGAGTAACTTAGGCAAATGTAGAGTTTATTTTATTATGGCTTCATACATTTTATTATTTATTTATTTGATCCCCCGAGGGGGCGCACCGTTCATGGAAGTACTGCAATACCAGGTCGATGTGTGCATAAATTTTATTTTTTTGATCACTGGTTGGATTTATAAATGTTTGCGCATACTTGTGAGCTCTACTTTTGTAATTTATATTTATAAATTATTGCAGATTAGAGTTTCTCAGTCTCGGTACTATTGACATTTGGGACAGGCCAATTCTTTGCTGTAGGAGGCTGGCTGTGCATTGTAGGATGTCCCTTAGACTCCACTCACTAGATGCTAGTAGCAACCCCCCAGTTGGCAGTCAAAAATGTCTGGATATTGTCAGATGTCCCCTTGGGGGCAAAATTGTCCCTTTCCCTTAACCAAAGAGCCATTGGTATAGAGAAATAAAGAAGTTTCTTTGAGAACCTTTATTGATATTTGTATTTCAAAAATGGTAATTAATCATCATAAATAATAGTCACTGGGTCCAAATATTCTTGATTACTCTCAGTGATAGATATAATTTCTACAAGTAATGTTTGCTTAGAGGTGAATATCAGTTGTAGGTCTTGGTTGGTGGGAAAAGTTTAAGGGAATTGTATTATATACATGGTAAATCTATCCTATACTGTAGATTCAGTCTATTTCACAGATGAGTAACCTAAAGTTCTCTCTGAAAATCTACTAGCAGGAGCTAAGAAGTTGACAGACTTTCAGCCTTCTAGCAGAGGTTTTCAGTGATGCTAAGTTCAAATTTTTGACAATAATTCCCCAGTTTTTCAGGGGCTCTGATTCACATTTGTTATGGATAGAATACTCAGTCACATGCTGCTGTTTAATTTGGGAACATCAACCTGACAGCATTTGGAATACTTTTGTCACAGAACCTCAGCCTTGGGATGTGATTGATTGATTTTGGGGAATGCCTACTAAATTGGCCTTTCAGATTCTAAAACAACATTGTCTTCAAAGACATTTTTTCTGTCAACCTAATAAAATTCAAAATAATGAGAAAAAATTAGCATTCACTGTCTTGATTTCCCTGTAGTACCGGATAAAATTCCTTATTCATTCATCACTTTGTGACCTTTAAATAATTTAAACTAGAAAATGAGTTTTTTTAAAAAAAACCAAAAAACAATATCAGGCCATGCCAGGGGTGGCACTTACTTGCTTTTAAGTGATGTATATTTGTTTAGTTGGGGGGAAGATGAGAAAAATGATATTGAAACTACCTTAGAATACCTCAGATAAAGTATTCAGCACAGATGCTTTGTCAGCTGGCTAAAATGAATGTTTCGGAAAACAAACCAGGCAAGGTATATTTTTTTTAAAACTCAGTAGGTAAGGAAACTGAGGCAAGAGGTTAAGTCATTTTCCAAGGTTATGCAGCTACCTGGGACCATAGAAAAACTGGGGGCAGTTATTCTGAACTGTTAACGATGCTTATAGGGCAGGGAGTTACGAGATTGTGGAGGACTTCAACCTTTCTATATTGAATGCTTCCACTGTGTTTGGTTTGTAGTTTGTTTCATCCCCCAACTTGAGATCAGATAAAGTCATCTGTATTTTATCATTTTTTTCCCCAGCTTTGTTGAAGTATAATTGACAAATAAATTGAATATATTTAAAGTATACAATGTGATGATTTGATATATGTATACACATTGTGAAATGATCACCACAATTGGGTAATGAAGACATCCATCACTTTACATAGTTACCCTTTGTGTGTGTCTGGTGACGACACTTGCAATTTGTTCTTGCAAATTTAGGTAAGCAGTTTAGTAGTATTAGCTATACTCACCATGTTACATTAGATCCTCAGAACTTTTTCTCATTTTGTCATTATTTTGTAGTTTAGTATTTTTAAAAATTGTTCTGATATTAAAATTTAATATATTTTCATAATTTTTAAAACATCAAACATAACTGTAAGAATGGGAGGTTTGACTGCTTAAAAATATTAAACTTCTGTTTCTAAATACCAAATATAGTTTATAACTAAAAGATCAGTACTCTAACCAAGTAACAGATGATTCATAAACAAGAACTACAAATGGCTATTAAACATGAAAAAGTATTGATAAATGAAGAATTGCAAAATAGGAGAGTACAATTAACCTTTCTTGGCTGAAGATTTATTTTTATTTTCTTATTTCTTTCACATTTATTACAATCTGGTGTTTTTGAGACTGTGGTAGAACAGATCCGCTCCAATACTATTGATTCTAGTACAGATTGATACCATTTTTCTGGAGTATCATCTAGCAATCTCATGACTCAATATTTATACGTTTGATTTAGTAAGTATAAAGCAGGTTCTAGAGCTGCATGTGTAGCAGAGTCTCGATTCTGTTTTAAGTACCGTCACATACTGCTTTCACCTGATCTTAGCCAAAAGGCCGAGAAGTGATTGGAATATTTTCTACTGTTAATAATTATCTTTTTCCAGGGGCCAATTTTTACAAAAAAATTTTTTTTTTCCAAACAAATTATAGTATCAAATGAAGTATTTTATAGGCAGTTATGGTAAACATAGTCCAAATAGTATGTGCCTGGCACTCTTGCAAGCACTTTCCGTGAGTCACTGCTTATTCCTCGTAACAGCCTTGTGTGGGGGCCTCTGTCGTGCCCAGAAAATGAGCAGTGAGGCCAAGATTCACATTAAGGCATTGTGACTCCAGAGCCCTTGTCCCTGTCTGCAGTGCTGTCCTGCCTCACATAGAAAGGAGCCATCAGACTGATATCAGAACGCAAAGAAGGGTCAGGGGAGGATGGGGTGGTGGAATTGAGGGTCTCAAAGTAAAGCACATTACTAAATAGAAACAATTTGAATTTACTACATAAGAAATAAGGAAGTACATTTCTTGCAAAGTATAAATATTACCAGTGAAACTGAATTTGCCTATCATGGCTATTTCCTAATGTACATCCCAGTGCCTTCCCCGGGGGAGACCCAGGTCAACAGTTTGGTGTGTGTTTTGTGTGCATATGTATGTGTATATGCATCCCTTTTGTGCATATATATGTATGTGTGTATATCTGTAGGACTAGGTACTGTGGTGGTGTTATTTTTAAACATAAATGCCATCTTCCTATATCATTAATTCTGATTATGTCTTGGAGATCTTTTGTTACCAGATTGCCTTATTTGTTTTAACTGCTCCATAGTACTCTATTATATGCAACATTGTTTAACATTTTATATAAACCTTTGAACATTGCTGAAAATTATAAGTACGGTCATCCCTCTTATCCATAGTTTTGCTTTCCGAATTTTGTTACCTGTAATCAACTGGGTCCAAAAACAGGTGAGTAAAGTATGATAAGATACATTGAGAGAGAGAGAGAGACTACATTCACATAATTTTTATTACAGTATAGTTATAATTGTTCTATTATTAGTTATTGTTATTAATCTCTTACTGTGCCTAATTTATGAATTAAACTTTATCATAAGTATAGGTATGTATGTATAGGGAAAAAAACATAATATATATAAGGTTCAGTACTATCTGAGGTTTCAGGCATCCGTTGAGGATCTTGGAATGTATCCTCTGCAGGTAAGAGGGAGAATGCTGTAACAAAGTTATCTTTTTTTTTTTTTTTTTTGAGACAGAGTCTCACTCTCTTGCCTGGGGCGAGTGCCGTGGCGCCAGCCTAGCTCACAGCAACCTCAAACTCCTGGGCTCAAGCGATCCTCCTGCCTCAGCCTCCCAGGTAGCTGGGACTAAGGCACACACCACCATGCCCAGCTAATTTTTTTTTTTTTCTGTTTTTAGTTGTTTGACCAATTTCTTCCTATTTTTAGTAGAGACGGGGTCTCGCTCTTGCTCAGGCTGGTCTCGAACTAATGAGCTCAGAATGATCCACCCGCCTCAGCCTCCCAGAGTGCTAGGATTACAGACGTGAGCCACCGCGCCCAGTCCAAAGTTATCTTTTTAAAGAAGAAAGATTTTCCAGCTGTACAGGGTTATATAAGATCTCAGATGAGCTTTAAAAGATTTGCTTTTTCAGGATAGATACAGATGAGGTCAACATTTTGTCAGTAACTATCAATCACAAAATAAAATAAAATATAGCTGTGATCTGACATATTTTGTTTCTTTTTGTTCAGTGACTTGTATATGATTGAATGTTTATTTCTCCTTCCTATAAGCTCTCATCAGGTAGCATTGTATTTTAACCATCTTCGTTCAAGATGTATCTTTGCTGTAGATGTAAATTGTGACTTAAAAAATTTCAAATGTCGGGGGGGGTAGGTGGGGTAAAAGTGGAGTAAAATAACTTTAAGCAATTCAAGTTAAGTTGTTAGCTTAAAATAGCCTATTATCACTCTGAGATGCTTTTTTTTTTTTAAGTCTCATGGTGATCATAAAGGAAAAAGCTAATAGATAATAAGAGATCAAAATTAAGTAATCAAAGCATCTACTAGAGAAAGTCACAAAGAAACAAAAGATCTACATGACAACTAGTAACAATTAACAAAATGGCTGTAGTAAGTTCTTACCTATCAGTAATTACCTTGAACATAAATGGATTAAATTCTCCAATCTAAAGACTTGGAGTAGATTAAAAAACAAGACCCAATTATATGCTGCCTACAAGAGACTTACTTTACCTGTAAGGACACATGTAGACTGAAAGTGAAAGAATGGAAAAGATATTCCATGCAAGTAGAAACATATAGCAGCTTGCATGTAGTAAAATTTCTTTTTTAAATTACATATATAAATCCATCCTGCTTGAATTGAGCTGAAAATGTTTTGTTGAGGTATTTGTCATCTGAGGCAACCTACTTACACACTGACAAATGCAGAAGGGCACAAGATATGCTTACTGGGGAGTCTGCGCAAAGACCCATACCTCAGAATCTTAGAACAGAGTCAGAATCTTGGCATTCTACCTTTTAAGTGTCCAGCCAAAAGGAAAAAGCTAAACAATCAAGTCAGGGTCCAAATATGAAGCAAAACATTTATAAAGACTATGTAATTGACAAAAAGTAAGAAAAGGGAAAGAATTTAACCTTTTTGTCAGGAATGTAACATATCACTGGACCAGTGGAGAAAGAGAAAAGGCCATCCAAGTGTAAAGTCAGGATAAGTTGATGGAGGAAGAATAGTGTCAGCATTTAAAGTCACAAAGAGAATTGAGAAAACAAATCAGATATCCCAAGAGGATATACAATAATGAGGTAAATCCTTAGTTTTTCTAGGAAGGAATTAATAGGTATTGTTTTAAATGATAAATCAAATAGTAGGTGTAAAGACATGTTATTTAAAATATGGTGGATGGCACCAGAAGAAAAAATGTTTAAAATTTTCCCTGTACAGTTGGGGTTAAAGAGTGATGCTTTGCCTCAAAAGCTATGCTAAACTGTTTGGTTTGTTACTTTTAAGTTTTGGTTTGTTACTTTAATGCTTTTAAAGTAGTCAGATTCTTGTTTATCTGTGTGAAACGTAGTTTCTTATTCCTACAGCTTCTAAGACCACGAGAGAAAAAGTTGGGGCTAGGTAAGTAGAACCTCTAACCCCACATACCTACTATTTGCCTTGATGAGTTATCCAATGTGTATTTTCCCAGTTTGGAACAAGGCCAAAACACAGTGACCTCCTCTGATGCTTTTTATTGATCTTAATGACATTTAAATGATTTAAATTGGGTCACCTGTATGAGTCAGGGCCCACTCAGGAAAACAGAAACCACTATAAGTCTTTCAGTATAGGGAATTTAATACAGAGAATCTGCTTACAACAGGCAAGGGAATTGCTGGAGATCACTATCACTCGTAGGGATGGAGCAACAATGGGAGGAGATGGGGTATTTAGAACTCAAGAACTTGGGCCTGCCTAGAAGGAGCTAGAGTGATGGGGTGGGGGCTGCCTGTGGCAGGAGCTGAGTCATGGAACATACCCAATCAGTGCTGGGAAGATTAACGGAGAGAGGACACTTAGACTTTTCCCTTTTTTTCCTCTCCACAGTCTTCCACCTGTACCTCCCAAAGCTGTCCGGAAGCCAGTTGGCAAGAGAACCTGGGAAATGCAGTTCCCTGCAACATAGCATAGAATAGGGAAGGGCCACATAGTGGATCTGAGAGCAAACATTTTGGACTACCACACCACCTTAGCTGTGAACCTTTGAACGTTCTTCAAGGTTTCAGTTCAAGAATAACTTTAAAGGATATTCTTTATGTTTGAAAAAGAAAGATGTGCTAGGTTTTAAACATAGGGCATTATAGAAAATCTCAGATGAGCTCAGTAAATCTGAGATGAAATCCTGCTTTTATTTCTGCTGTTGGTCACAGTTGCTCATGTTGAGAATTGGTATACTTTGAATGAAAAATTTGTAAAGCATAGAGAAAGCACAGTTGGGTTTTTTTTGTTTGAGGCTACAGTGCAATGGTGAGATCATACCTCACTGCAACCTCAAACTCCTGGGCTCAAGCAATTCTCCTGCCTCAGCCTCCTGAGTAGCTAGAACTACAGGTGTACACCACCATGCCTGGCTAATTTTTAAAATTTATTTTGTAGAGATGGGGTCTCACTGTGTTGCTCAGGCTGGTCTTGAACTCCTGGCCTCATGCAACCTTCCTGTCTCGGCTTCCAAAAGTGCTGGGATTATAGGCATGAACCTATAGTTATGCCAGATACCTATAATTGTGCCAGAAAGCACAATTCTTAAAAATTGAAGTCTGCTATCCTGAAAACCATCAATTGACTGGTATCATCAGATGTTTTGAGTGTCTGAATCTAGAAGGCTCTTTGGGATTGAAATAATCTGGAAACTTCATGAAAGCAGCCAAAAATTATTGACCAGTTAGTGATATATCCAAAACTACAGTTAGTCACTTCTTAACAAAAGACATTAAAAGAGCTCAACTTTGCTAATAAGGTGCTTGTGGTGGGTTTGATCTTGAGAATGTGGGAATCCCCAAATCCTGCTCCTGACCAGTTACTCTAACTTGCCAGGTTTCTGAGAGACTTTTAGGCATGAAGGTGGCTAAGTATTCATAATTGCTACCTGTGCCTTCGGTTCCAAATACCAAAGCAGGGGTCTATTGTACCAGCCTTACAGTGTAGAAGACACTCAGTGGGTAACTTTTGTGGAAAGGGACTTAGAGTGTTGGGAAGAGCAGAAGCAGAGAGACTTGTTAGGTAGTGATCCAAGCATCAGAAGGTAGTGCCTGGGACTAAGGCAAAGGTGTAGACAAAAGAAAGGGATTGAGAGATGTTTTGGATCAGTAGGGCTTAATTATAGTTAGAAATCATTGGTAAAGGCAGGAAATCAAGGATCATCCCTAGACTTGTGAATAGAGCAGTTGGATAGTTGGTGCCATTTCCTGAGAGGTAGCCTGTTAGGAGGGTAGGAAATCAGGAGATGATTTTGGAATGTTACGTTTGAGATTTCTGAAATATCCAAGTGGAGATATCAAGTAGGAAGCGGATAAGTAAACCTGGAGCTCTAAGGAGAGGCCTAGCCTCTTCAGTGTCTTCGGTAGACACTAAGGAAGCACCAACATAAAGATGGTTTTTTAAACTATGAGAATGTGATGATTTTTATATATAGTCTAAGACTTTTATACCATTTCTTTGCTAAATTGAAATATGGCTATGATCTTTTCTATTAAATTGACATCACAATTGGGAGTGGGGCAGCCAGCTACCTTTTTGATTGTATACGATATATAGGAACTATATGCTTAAGCTGAAAAGTTTCCAGTTTAACAGTATCACTTTTAGAGGACTGATGTTTACTTTTCAAGTGCCAAACAGTTTCTTCCCTATTCAAATACATACTTAAGTGTTTCTGGTGATTTTCTTTAATGAATATAAACACTCCTATTTTTAGGAACTGCATATATTCATGGAATGAAACATGCCACAGGAAACTACATAATTATTATGGATGCTGATCTCTCACACCACGTAAGTGGTATGTTTCTTCATTAGCTATTTATCACAGTCTTGGCCTATTTTACTGACTTATTGTTTATTCTTTCTAAATTGCAGCCAAAATTTATTCCTGAATTTATTAGGTAGGTACAACTTCCAATATTTGAAAGAAATATAATTGAAACCATTTCTCTTATACTGGTTTTGGACTTATTTTCATATTTCATTCTTCACTAGTTAAAATACACATGCAAATTAGCCAGGAGTGGTGGTGCTGACCTGTAGTCCCCGCTACTTGGGAGGCAGAGCCATGAGGATCGCTTGAGCCCAGGAGTTCACCACTGCATTCCAGCCTGGGCAACAGAGCAAGGCCCTATCTCTTTTAAAAAAAAAAAAAAAAGAAAAAATGCAAGTTCCATGTTTTCTATCAAAAATATAACCAGGATTTAGGTTTGAGACTCGTGAATGTAGATATGTGACTAAATGATGTCTCTTAGGGGCCCTGAGGGGACAAATCAACAGATAATTCCTTTGTTATCTAAAGTCCTTCAGACCACATAAAAAGATGAAAGCAGCTTTCCTATAAAATGGACTTAAGTCTTGAATCATTAATGTAAAACACCATGAACAAATAGGGTTTATTCTAGGGATGCCAGAAATGCTTCATCATCAGTAATCCCTCAATATAATTCATTTATCGTGTTAATAAAGAAAGCAGTGTGATTCAGTCTAGACACCCTACTCTTTTCTAGTAAAACTCTAAAGTAGAAATAGAAGGAAACCACTTAAGCATAATAAAGATGACAGTCATCTAATACAGTCATCACCCCAAATAGTGAAATGCTGAATCATTTCCAATAGATTTATTTTTTAATTAAAAAAATTATATTTTGGAAAAACTACATAAGGGGACAGAATTCCAAAATCAAATTCACGAAAATATGTATCACAATTTTTGTAGAGTAAGTGAGAAAACTCTGCAGTATAGAAGAGTAGAGGCAAAGAAATAGAAAGGACTAAGGCGAAGGGTATGAGGGTGAAGGGCAGTTTTAGTAGCAAACCCAGGAGTGAAGTAGAAAGCCTGTAGGAGGTCCAGGCTTTATTTATCCAACCTTAATATTAGACAACTGAAGGGCACAAATAAAACCAAATCAGAATTATATATTTTTTGTGGAAAATTTCAATAAATTGAATTAAGAACCAATTCTTTTAGTTCTCGGGGGTAATGACAGGGTTCAAGAGCTCTCAGTGGCCAAAAAATGTTATTGCTGCATCCAATCCAAGAGATGGGTGCGATTTGAATATATAAAGGACAGAGCACCTAGTGATGATTATTCCTCCAAACTCATCATTAAAAATCAAGTAATTGCCTATTAAGTATTTCAGTATTTGAATTAAATGATTTGAGAACTTTCCGGCAGCTAGAAGAGAGAAAAGCAAAGAGGAATGTGTCAAAACTAAGAAGATGAAAAGTTTAGTAAGTGAAAAGAGTTCAGTGAAGCCTCAACGGCTTATAGGAAATTAAATGGAAACTTTTAATCGTAATTGCTTTTCATCTGACATGCTTTAAGGAGTCTTTTAAAACTGATAAGAAACAATGAATAGGAAAGAAAACCTGCTGAAATCTTTTAGAATTTACACGATTCTTACTCTGCTACAAGAAAGCATTATTTTTGGTATAAGGTGTATTTGTGGATATACTTTCCAATAGATTTATTAAGATATGCATGCAAGCTATCATTAAACATGGAGATTTTAAGTACTGCAGTAAGACAAGAATTTAGTTGAATACTGGTAAAGGGTACAAAACTATATTATTTGTAGGTGATATAATTATATTCTTAGAAAACCCAAGAGCTAACAAAACCTCTGCAAATAAGAATTTGGAAGCCATTCTGAATGTAAAAGCTAAATTTACAAAAACAGAATCAGATTATGTCACCACCCCCCTCTCCATTTATTACAGAATACTTAAGGGAGTTCCCACTGACACCTGAGAGAAAATCCAAACTTCTTACCTTGTCCCTCAAACCCCTGGGTGGTGTGGCCCCTGCCTCCCTTTCTGACCTCATCTTGTCCCCCTTCCCCTTCTCTCTCCATGCCACAGGCATGCTCCTTTCATTTCTGAGTTCACCCAGAGCTCCGTGTTCCTTTGCCTGAAATGCTCTTTCCTCCTCTTTGATGGCTAACTGCTGCTCATCCTTCGATCTCTGCATAAAGTCACCTGAGACCTGTTTTGCTTATATCTCCAATACACAAAAGCCTCTGATAAGGAACTGGAACCACTAGAGTAGAAAATGGGTGAAAAGATACAAATGGGCCATGTGTAGAAGAAAACCAAATGGCTAATAAACATAAAAAAATGTTCACCCTGGGATGTAGTCAAGGAAATGCAAATTAAAATAGCTGTGTGTTACTATTTTATTACCCATTAGTTTGTCAAAATTAAAAACTTTTAGAGCAGTAATATCCAGTATCAATACAATGATAAAAACAAATGGACATACTCAAGATATTGCTGAAGGAAGTGTAAGTTGCTATAACCTTATTGGAAAAATAACTGTTAGAATTAAAAATACACATAAGCTTTGTTTTGCAATTCCAGTATGTTCCATTTTGGGGAATCAAAGCACCAGAATATAAATTTTTAAGAACGTTTATCGCAGCATTATTCATTGTGGTTGTGTTATTGGGGGGTGGGGGGGGAGTAGGGACAACCCACCATGGAAACAACCAGGGTTGTGAGTTGAATATTCTGTGGAATATTTTTGCAGCTATTAAAAAGAATGGGAACGATCTCTTTTGGCTGTAGGGATGTCCATGATTCCATGATATGAATTAGAAACTGACAAAAAGCAAATCACAAAGTGTACATTTTTGGATTCCAGTTTTGTGAATACAACCCAAAACCCTAGGGGTGTATATCTTTGAGCTGTCTATCCTTCTTTAAGGAAAGAGAAATACCTGGAGGGACACCAGGCTGTTTTAGTATTGTTTACTTCAAGGCAGGCAAGAACAGGATGGAGGAGGGACTGGGAAAATTTATAATTTTAGTAATACATTTTAGAATGATTTCACTTGGTGCATTCAACAAATAGTACTGTTTTGTAGTTTTAAAATAAAGGAAAAACAGGCCAGATGCAGTGGCTCATACCCGTAATCCTAGCAGTTTGACAGGCCAAGGTAGGAGGATCGCTTGGGGCCAGGAGTTCAAGACCACCCTGAGCAAGAGCAAGACCCCATCTCTACAAAAAATAGAAAAATTAGGCAGGCGTGGTTATGTATATCTGTAGTCCGAGCTACTTGGGAGGCTAAGGCAGGAAGATTTCTTGAGCCCAGGAGTTTGAGGCTAAGGCTACAGTGAGCAATGATGAAGACGCCACTGCACTCCAGCCCAGGCAGCAGAGTGAGGCCCTGTGTCTCAAAAAAAAAAGGAAAAACAGAATCAGGTTTGAAAACCCCACTTTGAAATGTCTTTTAGTAGATAATCCATCTATTCTCTTGGCATTGTTTTTTTCTGCTTCTCTTAAAAGTTCTGTTTGTGTAGCTCATGAAAATAAGTATTGAAAGATCAATGGCTTTTTCTAATTGACAACCAATTCATTTTTTCTACAGGAAGCAAAAGGAGGGTAATTTTGATATTGTCTCTGGAACTCGCTACAAAGGAAATGGAGGTGTATATGGCTGGGATTTGAAAAGAAAAATAATCAGGTATATACATGTGCTATAATTTCTCCATTAGTGTAACGACTAGAAATATGTTTATAACAAGTATTTGGATTAAATTACCATGCTCCTTGGGATTTGTGGGATCAGAATAATTTAGCTTTCAATAAATATTCCCAGATAGCTCCTTACCTACAGGTTTTTTGTTTTTTTTTTTATGATTAGAGTCTGGGTGTTTTTCATTAAGGAAAAATCAGCATAAACTTTGGAACCTTTGGTAGAAATAGTCTAGTTCAGCAAAAATTATTCTACTGGACCTTCAGTTTTCATTTGCATAAACTATTCATCTATGTTTTTGGACTAAATGGGGTTTTCCACCATGTTTATAGTTTTATCATTTTAAGTAAATAAGACACTTCATGATTTCAACTTTTATTAAGCAAAATAAAGTAGTGGGGCTTTGTAGTTGGACAGACCTGGGTTACAATCCACTTTTTGTCATTTAATTAACAGTGTTGCCTTACATATTTTACTTTTTCTAACCTTCATTTTCCTTATCCTAAAATGGAAAGAAAATCTACCGTTTGATTTTTTTATTTCTGCATAACAAACCATCTTGAAGCTTAGTGGCTTAAAATAAATATTATTCCTCAAAATTCTGTGGATTGGCTGGTGATTGCTGGTTTAACGTGTGTGTGGCAGTTCACGCAGCTTCTTTCACCTTGAAGGTCAGCTGTGCTGGCAGGTCTGAGGTGGCCTCTTTCATTCATCTGGCAGTTGATGCTGGCTGTTGGCTGGGGCATCTCTGTTGTTTTGTGCATGGCCTCTCATCTTCAGAAGGCTAGACCAGCTTCTTTACATGGAAGTCCTAAGGGGAGCATCTAAGAATACAAAGGCAGAAGCTGCAAAGCCTCTCGAATCCTAGGCTGTGGGGCTCACACAGTATCAATTTTTTGGTCAAAGCATCCCCATAATCTTAAGGGATGGGGAAAGAGTCTATCTCTTGATGGGAAGACCCACGGGAATTTTTGGTCATATTTAATCCACCTCAATCTACCTAACTTTTCAGTGTTGTTGGAAGGTAGAGGTATATTCCAATCTGTAAAGGGTATATAATATAACTTAAGAAATTCTTACTCATATTAATATTTTTTATCACCCACTTCATTCGTCTTGAAGATTCCATTAAGTTCATGTCAGTTCTGCTTCTTAACTATGGAATCTCAAGTCATTTAAAACATTTAAGAGTCTTAATCTTGCATGAAATGAAGGGGTTAGATTGGTTTTCAATCCTACTAAACACTGAAATCATGTAGGGAGAAAATTAACCACAACTGCCCCATTAGTTCTCCCTTCTCCCCCATATTAATACATGGCAAATCATCTTTATGCAGACTGACCTATTACCTAGGCGAAAATTCAATCTCTTGGTGCTTATGAGAATCTGAAAAGGAAACTCCTGGTCAAATCCCTGGTCTCTTTTGCTGACTGACGGGCCTTCATAATTCTAAATAATGACTATTGGTAAATTCGAGTTTTATTGTCTGTTTTTGTTCTTACCCAAAGTTTGGAAGGAGGCTTGTAGGTCCCCTGTAACTTTCATTTTCAAAGAATAAGAATCTCTTTTCTGAAAAATGAATGTCAGCTTTCCTTTCACTAAAAATTTCTCTTCATTCTAGAGAATTAACATTTTTGTGAAATGAGTTCTGCATTTTTAAAAGCACTCTGCTCTTGTATATCTTTCTCTTGTTTATAAATTGTGTTTTATAAAGAAAATCTGATTGTTTTATTTGGCAGCCGTGGGGCCAATTTTATAACTCAGATTTTGCTGAGACCAGGAGCATCTGATTTAACAGGAAGTTTCAGGTACGGTGAAAAACTCTACTAACTTCTTTCCTAAATTTCTTGCTTTATAATGGCTATTTTAAAGAAATGCTTTTCATTTTCACCCTGTTTTTGTTTTGGAACACTAAAAAGGCAGACTGAAATTCCTTAATGAAACCTAAACATCTTACGGTGAAATATTGTACTTTATCTTTTAGAAAGTTGAAGGCAGGGCTTAGGTTAATGTGCTTGTTAACAGTATTAAGGCTCAATTCATTTGAAACATTGCTGTTTCTGATAATGTGCTCCAAAGAGCATCACATATTTCAGTAATTTTCTGCATTTTATACGAATACTTAATAGCATTGTCTGCAGAAAAATTGAAAATCTTTAATATTTGGGTAGAGCTTTTTCGGTTACCTTGTTCTCTATATGTTAAAATATATATATTTCCTCCTTTAATTTGATCAAAGCTTTGATCCTTTGGGTTTTTTATGTTTGTTTTTGGGTATATGTTGGGGCTTGGGCTGTTTAATTTTAGATTTGCTCCTATAGATGTGAACTGCGCTGTGTGACCACGCCAAATGACTAAAGATTGCCAGACTTTTTTAAAATCTCAAAGTATAAAGTGCCTGTGCATCTGTTTTAAAGCCCCAAACCTCATGCATAACTTAATAATTGTTACTACATATTTGCTTTTTCCCATTAAATATTGTTCTCGGGTCCTTTGCTTAATGCAAGAAAATCTAGATCCTTAAAATGTCAGAATTCACACACACACACACACACACACACACTCAAATTAGGAGCTGGCTGTGGAAGGTCAAATAAAAAGA